TATAAAATAACATAGTCCTACACATGTAGTTTACGACTCCGAATGGAGTTTTTACCCGAAACGTCCAGATTTTTGGAAAAAAAATCAAAATTATAAAACAACATTTTGCAATTTAATTTTGAATCTGCTAACCCGAATGTTTTGAAATGTTGCAGATATTTTAAGGCTATAAAGAGCATCATAAATCTTTAGTCCAAATATATTTGGTTATCCCCTCCAAAAACTTGATGACGTCAGCTCAAAAGTTTGCCGAATAAATCCTATCTAAAATGTACAAAATATGATGAGTCTGTACTTGTGATATATCACTCCATTCCAGTGGCGGCTCGTGAAGTTTTCTTCAGAGGAGGCTCAAATTTGAAAAGCACTACTTTTTATATCTTTCATTATCTGAATATTTTTTTTGTCATGCCCACGAAAAGAACACTCGTGCGTTGATAGATAAATAAACTTTTGCATCGATTAGTCTTTTCAAAATTGCCCAATTTTCACCAACTTTCTCGTAATAGTTCTCCCTTTTATGAGCCGAATCTAAATGATTGGCATTGTTTTGTTTACCAAGCATTTCTAATTTAATCGAAGAAAATATGTGGTCCTATGATTTTTCATGCCTTTCTATAGCTCGTGACAAATTTTGTAAATTATTTTAGCCTGTTTTACCCCAAACGGAAGATTTATCACTTATAAATAATACACAATTCCAACAGTATAATTTGTTTCTTAAAACCGAAGCCGTTAACTATTTAGTTTTATTATAATTATTTTCATGAAATGCTCTGTTTTATTCTAATTGTAACTGTCAATGCAATTAATGGGAGTGATGGTGTTGGTCTCCCCTTTTGTACCCTTACCTACGTAAAGCCTAAACATCACCATCACTGAACAGGGAGCTCGCGAAACCACCTCAAAGTTTTTCCTACTTACACCCGATTGCGCCAACTAATAAGAAAGAGATAAAGTTATCTGTACGACTTGATCTGAAAAGAGATGAACTGGCCGGAGGCTAGCGGCTTGGAGCGGCAGTCCGGTGAACGTTTTAGCCAATGCAATACAGACTGACGATGCGTCAAGGTCTACGGTCTCAATAGCAAGATGCATTCTCGGCGGAGGCTAGCGGCTAACAAGCCTCAGCCGCTGAAACCAAACGCGGAGTGGTGTGAATGTGAATTATGATTGTAAATATAAATTTTTGCGACATTTTAACCTGATATATGATGAAAGTAAATGAAATCCAGCAAAATATTCTGAAAAATAACAAATGTCTACAAAAATATAAATTCTTTCATCGAAAAAAATTAGAGGAAGCTCAGCTCCAAAAAACAGAGGAGGCTCAGCCTCCCCTGCCTCCTCTGAGGAGCCGCCACTGCTCCATTCATATTTTTTTGGATTTGCATGTACAGAGTGACCCAAAAAAATTAATGAATGCATAAATGTATTTTACTGATTTACTCAGGAACTACAAAACCAAATGCTTTGAAATCTTGGAGATGTTTTAAAATTATCATAGGTATGGTACATTTTTGATCAAAATGTATTTGGTCGTCCCCCCTAAAAAAATTATGACGTGACTACAAAATTTTGTTGAATAAATTCTATCTAAAATGTACAAAATATGGTGAGTCTCTTCTTGTGATTTATCATTCCATTCAAATTTTTTCGATTTCCATATACAGGGTGACTCAAAAAAATTAATGAATGCGTGAATTTATTTTATTGAGTTTATCAGGAACTACAAAACCGAATGCTTTGAAATCTTGCAGATGTTTTAAGGTTATAAAGAGCATAATAAATGTTTAGTCAAAATATATTTGCTTATCTCCTCCAAAAAATTTATGACGTCAACTCGAAAGTTTACCGAATAAATCCTATCTAAACTGTACAAAATATGATGAGTCTGTACTTGTGATTTATCACTCCATTCATATTTTTTGGATTTGCATATACAGGGTGACTCAAAAAAATTAATGAATACGTAAATTTATGACGTCACAACAAAATTTTGCTGAATAAATCCTATCTAAAATGTACAATATATAATGAGTCTCTTCTTGTGATTTATCATTTCATTCATATTTTTTGGATTTGCATATATAGGGTGACCCAAAAAATTAATGAATGCGTAAATGTATTGTATTGATTTAATCAGGAACTACAGAACCGAATGTTTTGAAATCTTGCAAATGTTTTAAGCTTATAAAGAGCATAATAAATTTTTTCCAATTTCTACTAATAAAATGCTCATTTTGTATGTTAAATCTCGCTATTAAAACAATAGTTTAATCGAAAGGATGAATAAAATGTTTATAACAACACTTTATTCACACTGTCATTGACAACACGAATAAAGTAAAAAAACTAAAAATTCGCACTACCACTGAAATTTTCGTTGCTATGGATGTGTGGATATTCAACTAAAATTTGCAACGCTTGATAGTCCACCTCCTGTAAAACAATCCTAATGAAAGTCCAGGAGCATCGTTTGAATTTGACCGTGACGAAAGTACAGACAGCTTAGGCAATTTACCTTCTTCAAATGTTCATCATATTAGTAATAGTACAATTAATATTTATGTATGTGGATTACCTAAACAATAATTTTTTTGAAAAATTTTGCGAAATTGGACAAAATTTTGTATGATACACGTGAATAAACGAATTTTATCCACTCAAAAATATTAGCACACTCAGCTTCGCCTCGTGTGCTAAACTGTTTTTTCGTTGGATAAAATTCACTTTTATTCACTTATACCATAAATAGCTATTTAGTCAAAATATATTTGGTTATCTTCTCCAAAAAACTGATGACGTCAGCTCAAAAGTTTGCCGAATAAATCCTATCTAGAATATACAAAATATGATGAGTCTGTAATTGTAATTTATCATTCCATTCATATTTTTTGAATTTGCATATACCGGCTGACTCAAAAAAAATGATGATTGCGTAAATTTATTTTATCGGTTTACTCAGGAACTACAAAACCGAATGCTTTGAAATCTACTGTGAAGAAAAAACATAATAGACATGCAGTCGTCACGTTTCCGACAGCGAGGGAAGTACTGTCTAAACTCTTTAGACCAATTTTTTATACCTACTCTTATCTACTTAATTTTAATATCTTAAGTACTCCTACATTATTTTGTGAAACGTCCTATCCAAATATCGTAAGTAATTTATTTTGTTAAAATCTTCATTATTCATATTTTCCAATGTAGAATTAATATTTAATTTTAATCATAACTCAATTGTAATTTCAATTAGGTACTTAGTTACTACTTAGCACAAATTTCTTTGAATTTCCTTGTCCCCATTTGCAACAGAAAGTTTTGCATCAGCTAGACGCTTTCAGTGACTTACGCTTGGTGTAGCAAGCTAAAGGTAAGTTACTTGGCACTCACAAAAAAATATATAGAACGCACCACCCGGCTCACCAACGAGTCACTGAGCCGCCGACGCTAGACAACAAAGTTGCTGATGTTCTTCTCATACAGTGCCCTGTATATAATTTAGCATCGGGAAACTTCAAATAGGTCACAATCATCGGTGATATTTTGCCTAAACTATTTTTTCTTACTAGTTGACTTTTGTGGTGGTCTAAGAGATGCACACTTCCAAAAGAAAAGACCAATTAGTGTTGGTTTTTGTATCTTTTACGTTAATAACTATTGTAATACTTCTTTCATCTCAAATACTATCTACCTATACTGGCAAATTTAAGAGTTTTTGACGTGTCATTGAGTCATTGCTCCAGGAATACCTATTAATATTCCCACCTACCATATTAAATAAACATTGTCATATATAAATTCATGAAATTTTTGACATACCAAAAATTTAAAACGCCAATAAAACTTGTTTATTTAACAACTTTACAAAGTTCAATAGGTTTTAATTCTCTGATCAATCTTAGGAACCGCTATTTTATCACAGTTATATAACAGAATATCATATGACAAAGAACTGGAAACAGTATTCCCTACGGGAAACCAAATTCCATTCCCAACTACTCGATCATGTCTGAAAATTTTTCCGACAATAACGTCATTATTTCGAAAAACTCTTCCAACGTGAAGATTTTCCCCCACTTCACTGCCTCCTGGGATTGGGTTGCGATTCATATATTTGTGTAGATCTTTGCTCTCAATGGAAATCCACTCAAAAGCTTCTTTATGAGGACTGCAGAGAATCTAAACATTGTTATCTTGTATTTTTTTCGGTTGCTGATTTTCTGTAACTTACTTTAACGAATTTGTCGGTGTTAAAGACGCTGGCGTAAGCTGAAGTCCGAGCTGATTCTTGTTTGGGAAAAATTGTACCTGGTAGTAGCTCAAAACCACGTACATAAATTAAACCAATGTAAAGTGTATCGCCGTTGTGGTCTTTACCAGCTGGTACTGCATCGTTAGGAATAACACCATAGTAATCTCTCCAGTAGTAGTCTAATGACAAGATTAAGACCTGATAAGACGCAATCAAAATTATTAGTAAGAACTTACCAACGCAGTTCGGTTTGTTAGCTATAGTTAACATATATTGAGAGAAAAATATCAGAACTAATATAACAAAAGCCATGTTCGTGAATTTAAATTTAATGTAGCTGCAGTAAAAATAATAAGTATTTTTAAAGTTTTAATCATTTGATAAGTTATCAGTGTCAGAGGTTGTAAGACCATTCAGTTGGAGTTTCCAGAAGACAGATATAGTGTTAATCTCACGCGAACTAGGGAAAATCCGTGAGATAACCTTTGACTAATTTTAAATAAAAATAGACTGACGTCTGAAAGCGATGCAACATTCAAATGAAAAATAAATAGTTTATTGCTACAGGTTTGGGGTGTTTCTCTTATTTCAAATTTGAATAAATCCTACTGTAAATGCCAATCATGAAAACAAAGTCTTTATTAAGAACTTATGGCTACAGTTGCACTCGTAATTCACTTTAGAATGCTTTAACTTATACAACACTGATACGACATAAATATTTACATAAAAAAATTGCACATTTTTGTTTGAAATATTTAGTAATTTATTTTTGAAAATTCTTTGATGATACAAGAAATTTAGGATTACTCAGACGTAATTGAAATTCGTTCGTCTATCTGAGGAATGGCATTATCGTCATACACTAGCACTTCATAGGACCCTACGCTAATTTCATCTTTGCCATATGGGAAAAACATCAATGCGTTTCCAATGTTGTAACCGCAAACTTTTCCAACTATAACTTCTCCTTGATAAGACACTCTTCCAATATTGAGAAGTTTTCCATTTTCTGTTCCACCCGGCACCAGATATTTACCAATGGTATCTGTATGGAGATTGGCAGCTGTGGATGGAACCCACGACAGTTTTTCCGGTTGATCACTGCATAAGACTTTTATAAATGATTCGGATGTGTGGATACCATATCTAGAAGCCGTAACAGATTTTTGCCCTTCGTACAATCGCGTCGTAAGAATACCGTGTTTTGGAATGTACACTTGAGCTATGTAGGTCGTTTTGCCATTTTTATCTTTTCCACCCGGAACTGCATCGTCAGGAATTTCATCAGTAAAATCCCTCCAGTAGTAATCTGAGATAAAATATGTAAAAAAACTAATGAAACATGGAATATCAAACTTACCGATTTTCGTGGCGCACGAAAAAGAAAATAAACAGAGGAATATTAAATTGAATGACACAAACATTTTGACTTGAGCTAATGAGCGAAACCGTTCGCTAATAAAGCGGTTTGAACTCACTAACCTTGTGTCTTAACCAGCATTTGCTACTGCGCACAAGCAAAATACAGCAGAATCTATTTTTAGTTGTGTACCAATAACACAAACATGTTTTTTATGTACAGTTTCTGAGATTAAAAGGAAGATATTTAACTAGTAGAAAATGAACACAAATTTATTGTTTTGTTCGGTATGCATATGTTTTAAACATAAAAAATATTAACATCAGTAAGTTTTTTCATATATCAGAATTTCATAAGAGGCAACTCCAATTTCCTGGCCGTCATATGGAAAATACAAATTAGCACTTCCTGTGTTGTAACTACATACTTTTCCAACTATAACTTCTCCTTGGAAAGACACTCTTCCTATGTTCAAAACTTTTTCGTCTTCAGTTCCGCCTATAACCACATGTTTTCCAGCAGTGTCGTTATGAAGTTTGGCTGCTGTAGTAGGAATCCAGGACAATTTGCCTGACTGGTTACTGCACAGAATTTTTACGAAGACGTCTGAAGTGTGAATGCCATTTTTAGAAGCTGTCACTGACTGTTTTCCTTCGTATATTCTGGTAGGGAGTAAACCATGTTCTGCAATATAGACTTGTCCTACATACGTTGCTTTGTGATTTCGATCACTTCCTGCTGGCAAAGCGTCATCGGGGATTTCACCTTCATAATCTCTCCAGTAGTAGTCTGAAATGTACTAACATTAGGTGAGAAATGTTTAGTGTAATGATTCGACTGTACCTATTTTCTCAGAATAAAGTGTGGTGAGCAAAGAAAAAACGAAAACGATGGAGGTTAAATGTTTCATGGTGCTGCGATTTCTGTTAATAAAATAATAAATCTTACACTGTGAGAGATACGAAGGTTAATATTTATAAATGTTGGGTTTATCAGTGCGCAAAGTGATATTGGTCACAGAGTTATACTGAGTTGATTCTGGCATAACAACATATTTAACTGTGGAGAAGTTTTGTTTAATATCAGGTGTTGGTATCTTTTGCCTTAATGGGGCATTAATGTTTAATGTGTTCTTGATGATACAGGTGTCCTTATATTATTGTCTGAAATATTTGTACGTTAACACGTTATGAAGTAAATAATGAATAATAAATCTTAAGAAATCTTAATATGCCCCAAAAATTTTCATGTTTTAAATAAGTATATTGCTTAATATTTTGTGTCTTAATATTCCATATTTAAGAACTTGTCGTAAATTGAAGCTCTTTTGTGTACCTTCTTTTGCTGTTTAGTGTCTACTCGAATTGGCCAAATCATGCTCCGTACACGGGGCATTCTGTGATACGCTGTTCGATTACATTACATATAAAAGCCAGGGAGGATCTAAAAGATCTACACAGACAATATAAATTGACATCAATTGTTGCAGTTAAAGATGATATTAAGATAGGTAATTTTCGTCATAATAAAGTGGCAGAGATTTTTTAAAATCCTTTCTCAGATAAATTTAAAATTTGTTTCAGCAATAATTCTGTGATACTACATTTAAGTTAAAATGTTTGTGAAGAAGTATTATATTTATACATTTTCGACAGAATTTTTGCAGTAAAATTTTTAAATGATATTTTCACCTTTTTAATAAATCAACTAAATATATCGCGGTTTTCAAATCTGGTGTACGTAATAACATCGAAAATTATAGGCCCATTGCAATAGTTTCAAATTATAGTAAGCTCTTTGAAAGAATTGTAGCTAATAATTTATATAGTCACGTATCTAATCAACTTAGTCCTAGTCAACATGGCTTTATAAAAGGAAAGTCAGCTTTAACAAATCTTTGTGAACACATCCAATACATATCTGATTCTCTTGAAAGTAAAAAACAAGTTGATGTTATTTACACAGATTTATCTAAAGCTTTCGATGCAATTAATCACTCGATTTTGCTTGGTAAGTTAAGCAAATTTGGCCTGTGTAGTAATTTAATAAAGTTATTTCAATCCTTCTTGTGTGTAATCGCATTCAGTATGTTGAGTATCGTGGTTTTCGCTCTAAAACCTATATACAGTGCTGTCGCGATAATCCGAATGTTCCCATAATCCGGATCAAATTATTTTCTCACAATGTATTTTATAATTGGGATATCTGAATTTAGTAATCCGAATTCACAGAATTACATATAAGTGGCTCCAGACAAAACTTTTTTTTTGCTGTGTACGCATTTAATAACGTCCGAGGCGGATTTGGCACTAAAGTATGGTGTGGGAACTTCCACGATAAGTGACATTAAAAAAAAATATAGAAAAAATTAACTGGTAAGTAATAGTGGAAATTTCGAAGTAGTAAATGTCAGCGAAGTTATTGACTGGCTCGACGGCGATGCGAAAGAGACTGAGGCTGAGGAAGAACCTGAAGACAACGACGACTCAGAAGATGCAGTACCAAGTACCAAATCGGTAAAAATTAAAAAGGAAGATGCCATTAAAGCTCTTAATCTTGCCAAACAGTGTCCAGCAGAAAATAATGTATCGTTGAAAGATAAAATGACTCTTCAAAAATTAAAAGAAGAAGCTTATATAAACCAGCAACATGCTGTTCACCAAACAAAAATTACAATTTTTTTTAAATCTAATGCAATATAATAATTTACTACGTACACTGTAATCAATAAATCTTTTTTTTTACATTATTACCATGTTTTTTATACTTAGTAATTCGGATTATTTAATAATTCCGATCGGGTCGGTTTTAATTGATCCGAATTATCGCGACACCACTGTATCTACAAATGGTGTTACGCAAGGGTCTAACCTTGGATCTATTTTATTTATTATATATTTCAATGATGCACTTCTAGAATTTAAGTGTCCCATCTTTGTGTACGCTGATGACCTGAAGGTGGTTAAAACTATTACCACACTCGAAGATTGTTACTCGCTTCAAAATGATCTTAATAATTTTATTATATGGTGTCACATTAATAAACAAAATATTAATGTAACCAAATGTAAAGTAATATCGTTTTCTAGATTACCTAATACTACACAATATAAGTATGTATCGTGTAACAGAAATAGATAGAGTTTTCCAAATCAAAGACCTTGGTATTGTGGTTGATTTACAATTGTCATTTATACCTCACTTTCAATATATTTGTGATCATGCTAATAGAATGTTAGGGTTTATTATAAGAAATACTGTGGGCTTTACCAATGTTGATTTTTTGCTTGTATTATACATAATATCTGGTTGACCGAGCTTCACTCGGCTCGTTTGGTAGTATTAGATCAGATTAGGACAGATAAATATGGGTATAGTATGCATTTTGAAGTACACGCGCTACTTAAAAATACACATTAAAAAGAAATTCCATAAGCGGTCTTTGTTTTAAATACTGATGAGTGACATGTAGAGATTAAAGAATAGAAAACTGGAATTATTGTTTGACATTTATTAAAATCTCATTTGTTACCCAAGTTCTCTCTCTGTCGTTCTTTTCTTTTTCCTAGTTTTCTTTCTCTCGACTCTAGAAAAAGGTCACAACCACATTCTTACTGCCAGAAGAGTTTCGCCTCTGGTGTGGTTAACATACTGAGTTACCGTGCTCTTTTGCGTTATTCCTAATTTCTCCATCTCAACCCTGCTCCCGAAGATGCCATTTACGAAAGTGTGCGAAACGTTGAGTCCAAAAACTCAAATAACACGGTCCCATCCCGGAAAACGATCACATTTTCACTCCGACCGTGGAACCTCTGAAATGAATGCTTGACAATAACCTCAATTCAACGCTCTTTCGTGTGCCTTTTATCCGCTCACTGTTTAGTTTTCCGTAAATTTTCTCACCTCCGAAGGTGAATTTTAACGTTCTCTATACAGTGGAGTATGTTTCGGTACGTACAATTGAAGATAAAAAGGTACGTCAAACGTACTGTCAGACTGTCACCCAAGCTTCTCTTATAAAACAATCTCATGTTCTTATAGTGTCAACTGATGTTGCCTAGCAACAAATATAATTTACTGCCTGAAAATTGCTGAAAATGTATGAAGCTGTAATTTTCAGAAGTTAAAACTACGATCAATCGATTTCTTGACCCAAAAAACCCCCAACCTGTAAATTTCATCGAAATCGTTAGAGCCGTTTTCGAGAAACCCATTATATATATATATATATATTTATATATATAAATATATACAAACTTTGCTCGTTTAATAGTATAAGATATTCGTCTGTCCGTTCTATACTGGAATATTCATCCGTCGTATGGGATCTATACTACAAAATTCATATATCTTCAATAGAGCGTATTCAAAGAAAATTTTGTAAACATTTGTTTTATGTTAAATTTGGCAAATATCCCGTAAGAACATGTTCAAGCAAAGTTCTTTTCAATGAATTTAATCTAAACTCGTTGAAGGATAGAAGAACGGTGGCAAATATTTTATTTTTATATAAGCTGATCCACCGGAAAATTTCTTCAGAAAATCTTCTTAGTAATATTAAGTTTCACATACCGCGCTTAAATTGTAGATATATTGGAACATTTGCAATAGTTTGGTGTAGAACTAATCAACATTTCTATTCACCGATATATATGTGCAGAAATTACAATAATATTCCTCCACTTGGAGACATCTTTTTACAGAGTATCAAACATTTTACTTATCTGTGTAAAAAAGCAGTTCTTACGTCACTGTAGTTGAAGTTCCTGCATGTCTTGTTATGTCATTTTTTAGGGATCAGTGCTTAGTTGTATTATTTGTTTTGTATTGATTTTTTTTGTTATATGTATTTGTGTATACTTATCTGGAGTTATGTACAAGTATCTACATAGATCTTTTGTCTATTAATTTAATTATTATTATCATTATTAATAATAATATTATAAATGGAAAATTTTGTTGGGCAATTTGGATTTGATTAAACCTATCGGCGTATGGTAAAAAAAAGCGATGGGTTCGTAAATCGTAAGTATATTAGTTTGCATATTTAAAGTAGAATTTACTTATCAACGGCGGAAATGATATTAACAAATTTTTGACTAAAATATGTATCTATTGATAACAAAGTTTTCTGAGCCAAGGAACAAATATTGAAATACAAAGAACTTACATATTAGCACATTTAACGATAAATGAGACCTTCAAATTGTTTGTACTATATACTATATAATACCAATACATTAACTATAACATAAACGTTGCTAAAAGACAAAAAACATTTTGATTTCTGTGATAAAATAAATCCTTCAATAAAATTGTTTTTTCTGAAATCGTCTGATTTTGATCAATTACTCAAACATTTTGGAGAAGGAAAATTCAACTTTCCGGACTAGTCATGTAAAGAAAGCTGCCAAAATTTCAATTTTTATTTCTTTATTTTTAACATTAAAACGTAACATTTAAGTTGATAGTAGTAGGTATTTTGAACAACGATAGCCAAAATTTGTCTGATCTTCCTCATCAGCAATTTGATAATATCATGTCAAAATTTTGCCTAATAAATGTTATTTCAGTTTTATAAAATAACATATTTCTATTCTTGCAGTTTATGAATCCCGCTTGATTTTTTACTGTATATATCCAGACTTTTGGAAAAAAATCAAAATTCTGTAAATATATATTTCATAAAATATATATTTACAGAAATTTTTTCTAAATAAGTTCACACCTCTTTTTTATTGGGTTAAGCAAATAACAAAATCAACCACTTAATTTTTGCAGACCAAACGAACTGAGAAATTGTTTCACTAAACACCAGGATTTTTAGGGAACTACCTGGCTGCCAAGGCACTTTCTTAGTCTATTACCACTAATACTATGATTGCTACAAAGAACAAAAACACTCCCAAT